GTTGACATTTTGATAGAGCCGTTGCGTCCATCCTCGTCATGATTGTGGCGATTGTCAAATGTCATCTCGTTAACAAGCCCGCAGCGAGCAACAATGTCGGGTTAATACTGGTGTGGATTTATATTCAGTGTTATGACAATTGATACTGCACTATCTTTGATTTCAAGTTCAAACGTATTATCTGCTTTCTCATTTGAAAACCGTCATTCTTCATTCCATGTTTCATTCATTACCTTTAACTTCATCATCTTTAATACACTTCACTGAATACACGCGTACCTTTTAAAGACTTGTATCTAATGGACCACCCACATACGCAAGAGCAAATACCTCAGGAATGTTTCGGAGAACGTTAAACGTCCAAGCGTTCCAGTGAAATTGCCAAATACCCCACCTAATAACAGGTCCGCCGAATTTTGCGATGCACCAGCCAAAGATAAACTTCGAAAACCAACCGACCGAAGCCACGGTTCCATCAAACGAATTGCAAAATTATACAATTACCAACTTGTTAGCAATCTGTGAGGTAAATAAGTTGTATCCTCATAAATATTTGCAAGTATCTCTTTAATTGTGCTGCCGTATTATGTATTAATTCAGTACACAACTACTCTCCCATAAAATGAACGGGTACCTTTAAAAAGAAGTTGCGCAATTTCATAATTGGTCATTTGTTATGGATGATTGATGCTTACAGTACTTTATTCATGAATGTACAGTCACGGAATGAAAAGGTTCGTCAGTTTTCAAATTGATTCCTTCAACGAATCGCGAGCACATATTACCTTTTGAAACTATGTTACAGAAAAATCTCGAGTTAGAGAAAATAATCTTTAACTGTTCGTCAGTAAAGTTCAAAATTATTCAGATCAAAGTTGTTTGACGATTTAACTTGTCAAGAAGATTATTATGATTGATAAACTAAATCCTTCTTGTTGGTTCAACCTGCCATTATCTATTAAATAAAAAAAAAACTACATTTTGTAAAATTGCGCTGATGGGATAGAAAAATAAACAAGCAAAACCTTATTCGTTAGCAAACGTCATATTTATTTAAATGTTACCAGCAATGTTTCTTGCACGGTTATGTTGGCAGGTTTGACTCTTACAGTACCTAGTGCAAGCGAAAACCGACACTAAGGTGACGAACCTTTTCATTCCGCGACTGTACATAACTAGACAATTATAACAGGACTTCCAGCTGTCGAAATTAATTTTGAACGGTTCATCTCTCCTTCAATTTATTTGATAGGTACTACTCGTATTCCGTTCCTATCATTATTTCTATCGTTGTTATGATTTATGAAAGATAAATGATCATAACAAGGATAGAAATAATGATTATTAGATGCTGAGAATACATAAATTAATATGAATCTGAAAATAATAATATTATTATTCTTAACGGAGAAAGAACCATACCTCGTTCCAGCCAATTTCAGGCTCTAGATATTCTTTATTTCTCAAGACTACCTACTTGTACGATGAATATCTTTAATTTGCATTGCATATAAGTTAGGCGTTGAGAAGTACCACGTCGGGCTGTTAAAAGGCTAGTGTTAATTCCCAATGGAAATTAATCCAAGAGCACCTCACATATCGTCCATAATAAATCAGCATTCAAGGGTACTCAACTGATTTCTAACCATACTTTTATAACTACATGCGGAGATCTTGATCGACTTGTAGTTTGCGATGAATAATAGCAAACAAGACTTCATAAATTAATGCATGTTCATAGCAATCTTCCTGCTATTATATTAGCTACCGATAATGATCTCGATTGAAAGAACCGAGAAATTAAATTTGATTTGAAAGCAAATTCTCGATTTAAAGCGCACGTAATCGATTGTTATGCTGAAAACAATTGTTCAAAAATCATTTATTCATCCGTCGACATGGAAAAACCTACGCATGCTTATAACATGCCATCGTGCATAGAAAGTACCTAATGTATGCAAAATGCAAAACAATGCAACGGTACTATGAAAACCTTGTACTAGAGAAAGGGTCTTCTCGAAGGAATTCGAAGATCCGTTTACAGTTAGCCAGTTTTGGGTCGCATGTATTGAACAGAAGGAAGAACATTGAGAAACCGATAATAACTGCAACTAAAACAAACTACAGTAAATTATAGTTATTTTATTCAATGTGTGTTTATGTAATGATTAGTCATGGCTGCAAAACATACTGTGTTTACGGCGCTTATTATGACGTGAGTAAATTGTATAAGTGCCAACCATTTCCATACTTCTTTCAGTACCTTGAAAGAAAAAACCCTTTCGGTTCGTTCATATATCGATATCTGTCTGGTTAACCAGTGAAGTAGAGGGCATAGAACTTTTTGTGCCGAATACTTGACCGATTTTTCCGCTAAGGCCAACTAGAATGAAAGTTCTAAGTACAAGCCGCTGGTTTCGGTACCACAAGCGAGGTTGAAGTGTTGATCAGTCACCTTCGCTAAGCAGGCAGGCCGCGACGTGCATACATATGACTCGTTTAGCAAGTGCATTGCAAAACCGCCGTGACATGATGTATTAATGCTACGTTTATACTGCACCGACATTATTCTATTACCATTCTGACTAACCCTGAGCTTGTCATTAAAGTAACCGCATCTATAAAAAGACCGATATTACCATTTTTCTTCTCATAAAGATAGCATCGCCGCTGAAAGCAAGAAAACAAGTTGGGTACTTAGTGAATGAATTAACCGAGCTCATGATGAATAAACACTGAAAATGTTTGAGATATAATACATTTTTGTTTTGATTAAAATGGTAATGCATTGTTCACAGTGGAGTTCATTAATTGTGCGGTCGCCGATGCGTAACGTCCGGCCCGTCTCGCGGTTGGAGCGTGAATAGCTCAAAACCGCGGATCGCCGGCGCAGGCGCCGCTGGCGCCGCACTTCCGGCCAGTGGCGGAAGTCAGCTGCAACTGTCGCCCGATATGCACTACTAGCTCTGTTGTTTTTACTCGTATCAGTTTACCTGATATAATTTAATTGCCACTGAGTTACATTTGTTCAGTGGGTCGTTAATTTGCTGTATAATGGCTTTTGTTTGATGCAGCGCGATTGATAAGCAGCTGTTTATCATGTTTTAAAATTAAAGCGATAGCTACGCATGACGTGCTCTGAAATCGTTAATATCTAATTTCATTAGAATAGAGATGATTTTCAGCATCTACAAGTATTTTTCCGAGAATATCAATAATATCTCGTCCATCACTCCTATCTTAGCAATCAGGACGTTTTTAGAAAAAAACAATCTGTGGTTCATGTTTCATGGAACACGCGTGGCCCCATTTATTTTCGAGAAGCGGCTCTTTGTCTTGCGATGACGCATCCTGCGCGCACGCATCTAGTAGTGCAACAACCTATATTATTTATTCAAATAAGCAATGTCTGTGTTCGTTAATTATTGCACATTGAGACAAACAAACATGGTAATTGTTTGGGCTTGTAACTTGCTACTACATTAATTATTGACATAACCTTTCTTGTGACTGAAACGTGTATGTTTATGTGTTCGTGGTCAGTCAACTTGTCACCTCTCACAAAAGATAAAATATTTTTGTTTTCAATATTAGAGTACCTACTTTTTGACTTTACTACCAGCATTTGTATTATGGTCAAATGCCTATTTAAAATCACCAAGTGGCGTCCTTTGTCCCAGAATAATTTGTTCAGCAGTACCTGAAGTATCGCCATTGTCTTGGTATGACGAACCGATATCCACGGGCTTAGTCTTGTCTTGACTTGTTGGTATAATAACGAAAACATAATATTTTCTCAATGGTTATTTTATTTAGGTATTTCGCCAAAGTTGCAAATATTGGGTAATACGCCAATAGTAAAATCAGATCAGAGAAACCCTTTTTAAAAATAATATCCAGCAATGGATCGTTATTCTTATCCAAAGGATAATACCGTTTTAACCCTCCTGTTTCAAATTTGCAGGTGCTCACCTACATGTGCTCGTAAAGGGCGCCCTTAGCCCATGACAAATGAATGGTTACATAATGACATACGGCGATAAAGCGATATGGGACTCACCGATCCCGATCCCCTTCTTTCAACTCAAAATGATTACCATTCTGATATTTATTCCGTCGATATAAGGGCCACAGCTGAGCAAGGGTGAAGAGGTCCAGGCTGGGATAAACCCGACGATATTAACGCTTATGTGGTCGTAATAAGGGCTACCATCAACCAAAGGACAAGGTCTAGTGTCAATATAGGCGCCGTCTAGTAGTGCGGCGCCAGACAACCGTTAAATAGACTGAACACCCCTATTTTTAATAACAAGCGTAAAGAGTACCGGTAGGAAATTGTCATTGGACACGCAATCTGAATTGTCATTAGTCATGATTGGGAAAAGAGGGAAAGTAAAAGTGGATTTCTGAATCTAATCCAAAAACAACACAATACAGGTTCAAAATTGGTTGTCGCTTAGAATCCAACATCAAAATTGTGCGAACACAGTTGATTTCGTTAGTCACAGCTGAAAATAGATCTTCGATCGCTAAGGACTGTAATTTATTGGCTCGAACGCGGTTTGTTGAGGTAACGGTTTTGTTTCCCATGCTCTACGTTTGTTTTAGAGTCCTTTGAAGTGGCAGATTCTTTTTTATAAATTGTATCTCTGAATAACTGCTTTGGAGTCTATCAATATTTCATTGCCGATTCCGTATTGAGGCTCACAATTTTCACGATATTTAGTACAACGTCTAAATTTGTAAATCAGTTCGCATTTTGGAGCAGTATTAATCCATCAATAGTGAACACATTCCAAATATTTGAATACCAGCGTATATAATTTCAGAGCTAAGAGTCATAGTCGACGAAGACGATCATAATGGAACCGTGAAAATGGAAGCATTAAACCCAGATCGTCATTTGTTTTGCCGTCATGACGTTCTAGTGAGCGATGCCGCCAGTCCATTAGCCTAATCTCATGCTAGACGGGTTGCTCATTCAAAAAGCGCCCTTCGAAATGTCGGCGACGCATGTGGGGACGCGTCGGCGGGACTCGCCCGAGACGGGCGCCAATGACGTAATGGGATTCCGTGGGTAACTAATGACATAGCCCGGGTAAAACAGTATCTGTAGATGAATATTTTGGCGACAAAATTGCTTTGCACATGCCGATTTTCTTAATTGCATACTCAATAGTTTTATTGCATATTGCATTCATAGGTTACAGAAGCTGTTCCCTATTGATATTTCTATGAGTCTTGATGGGTAAAACAATATCAGGAAAGAATGATATATTTTTATTGAATAGCTGAAGACCGCAGAAAATTTCCTTCTAATAAAACCGTGGTGGTCTCTTCATCATCATAATTATGATTTGAAGAGTGCTAAAAATAATTGCATACGACTTTTTTCACAAACGCTTAATGAGTTAATCGGTCAGTTTTTGTGAAATTGTCTAATGTTTTAGATGTGTTCGCTTCAATTCAAACAGGAATGTAGTCAATCTGCGTCTAGTGACCGCGTTTTTTGCGAATTAAGATACGTTAATTGATTTAGTGCCCAAACTGCTTTAACGGCATTAAATTCTTGCTTTTATCGACTAGGTGATGTTAGGCCTTCAAATTACCATGAAAAACGTAGTGGTGGTGCTGCAGTCGCGTTTCTAAAAATTCCTCTAATTTAAAGGCGGTCTTGCAGGATGACCTGGCTTTACTATTCGTCCTGTGGATCCCTAATGACTTGCTGGGGACGGGGAGCGATGCCTCTGTTATTTGTTGTCATACTCCTCGTGCCTGACATTACACCGTGATTTGTTGGGAAAGTAGAATGGATATTTATGTCTTTGAGCCAAGGATAGAATCCGTGTGTCAATATCGGCATTTCTAGGATATGAGGAGATTCTCTTACAAGTTTATTATTGTGAGGGTCATGATCAATATTAAAATCAATTATAGTATTGAACGAGTAAATACTCGTGTAACTGTTGACTATAGACCAAACATGTTTTCGCATGGAAAATTTTGTAATGAATGCCTTCACTGATTGCAGACAACGAGGGTTTATGCAGGGCTCTCAACTGAACCTCGTAATGAGGTACCTTCACTGGTTTTAATGGTCGCCTAGCTTGTTGCAATAACTGCCAAGTAATGAAACTGCTCATCTATTGTTACGTCTTCATAATGAACCCTATTGAGTGCTTCAATACTTCACACGTTATGGTCGCGTAACTCGAATGCGTTTTTCCTGCGTAACTAATCGACGATCGCTGTTTTTCAAGTCACGACAACTTGCTTTCTCTCGTTTACGAGGTGCGCATGCGACACGTGGCGGGCGTTCACACTGTATTGTCTTTTATGGTTATCAGAACGATATCAGATTCATGCAGAAATAATCGGAACGATGTCATTAGACACGAGAGCAATGACACTCTTGCAATGTGCATGTGTGCACTGAGTTCTTTTCAGACATTGTCGTGGTTGCCTGCCATTGAATATTTTTACTGTAATTTTTCAGACTGTTAATACACTAACAAGTTTTGCTTAAAAGGTTTGTTTGTCCAGCTAATTGAACTCTGCTTCTTAGGTGCCATTTTGAACCACACACCATACAAAGACGTCAAGTGTTTGTCATGTATAAAATGTTCCAAACTCCGTGACAGAAGCAAATAGTAATTAGAAGCGACTTTAAAATACCGCCTGCAGTTGTAGTCTGCCTGTTTGTGAACAAACAGGTTAAATGTCATAGATCTTGACGCTTAGGTGCCTTTAGCAATAGGCGCATTTAAGAAGCAGTCTTGCCGGCTGCAGCTGCCGCCTCTTTTAGAACAAACAGGTTATGGTCATAGATCTAAACGCTCATGTGCTTTTTGCAAAAGCATTTGAGCAATAGTAACTGCATCGTGGACGAGTCTTTACAATAACACAATCGAGAACAGTTACATCACTGGATAGATCTTATTCTAAGATAACATAACAGTATAGCTTCTGACTGAGTGCGAGGCTGTACAGGCCTCGAACTAGATTCCAAGACATTCATTATCTGCAAAAGTATTTTCTTTATATTTTAACACCATAATCATTGAATTTTAAGTAATTATGTTTAAAAGGATTTCTCGGATTCCAAAACTTTGTAATCATAACTCTACCTTTTATTTAATTAAAAGGAAAACTGAACTATCACGCTTGACATTTCAACAGCTGATGGCCTGATAATGGAAGATATTTGGTATGTTAACATTGTTAATGGCGCCAAGTCTGGTCGTTATCAGATAGACTCGATAAGTTATCGATTGATTCGGCAATGACAGTGCCTATCGATACTCGATGGAGACTGCAGGATTTACGGATTATGAACAGTAATAATGGAATCGATATAAATACCCCTGGGCTCGTCACGAGGGTTATCAAACCCGCGACGTTTGAATGAAAACTAATCTTGAGTAATTTTGTAATTAGTCTCATAATCTGACGGGATAATTGTTTTTTAAGTATATAAATGCATCTCCTAGAATAACTCTCATTATTTTTGTGACGTCAGCGTAAGCTTCGATACGATGCGTGACATCACAAAAAACAATGACTGGTTTAGTTTTAGAAACAAATGAACGGTTTGTGTTGCTACAGAGTATATCAGGACAATAAAAAAACCAAAACAACTGTAATTAATTTCATTCCTAAAAATCGAAAACTTCTTGAAATCGATTTCAGAGTAAGTATTGATATCCTAATAGTCTGTGTTTATTCAAGCGACAAATAGGGACATAAATTGATAAGTCAATAACATTTTAGTGCTTGAATCAGATAATAACAATATAACATTACTAATGGTTTATCTTTTCGGAAGATCAAGATAAACAGTTGTCGTTTACTTGCACGTAATTAATTAAAAACTTCCAAACGTGCATTCAAAAGAATGCGCCGGCGCCGATCGCTATCTTGGCATAGCGACAGCACCGAACAGATAGCCATTATCAAGCCGATCCGGCCAATCGCGATAACGCATAGGAATTATCTCGTAGCTAAGACTTTCATTTATGGAGTAATTACATCCAATGCCTTTCTGCGATGAGATAATGAGCGCACTCGTTTTTTATTGCTAGTGCAATAATATGGAAAAGTTTATTTCTGGGAAGAGGCTATCTTATCTTGATGCCGTGACCTGTTGCATGGAGTTCAGCTTAATTAAAGCATCTCTTTCTATCTCTCTTTACTTCTGTTTCCATGGAGACTGAAAGTTTGGTGCATCAATAAGGGTTTTCGCGATTGAAAAATCCGCCAGATGGCAATACGTAGACGGGAGGTCCAAATGCTGCATGATTGGTGAATTTTGACATATCTGTCAATGTCATGTCAAAAATAACCAATCATGCAGCATTTGGACCTCGCGTCTACGTATTGCCATCTGGCGGATTTTTCANTTCGCGATTGAAAAAATCGCCAGATGGCAATACGTAGACGGGAGGTCCAAATGCTGCATGATTGGTGAATTTTGACATATCTGTCAATGTCATGTCAAAAATAACCAATCATGCAGCATTTGGACCTCGCGTCTACGTATTGCCATCTGGCGGATTTTTCAATCGCGAAAACCCTCATTCACCTCGAACAAGGAGGGAAAACTTACAGGGAGAGGATACATTTGATTAGATTTGCTTTCACTTTTGCTACAAAAAGTAATATAGGGTGATATGACTATGACCACCACTGTAGTACATACAGAATTAACTGTACGATTACTACTCCCTTTCATTTCTCGTCCCTGAAATATCAGGATACATTATTGATTTTAACTCCAATAAATTGTTGTTATTTTTACTGAGGTACGCTTTTCCAACATTTCACACTCATTAGCATATTCTTCATCAGCTTTTTAGCGCATAAAATAATTTCATTGGCATAGAAGCTCACTATAGTACAGAAACCTGCCATCGTAACGACCGATGCAGTATGTCGACCACATGCCAGGTGGATACAACAGGTGGAATGCAAGTCATTTTTTTTATTAAGACTAGTGGTTTTATATTTAGCTAGGATAAGAACTTGAATCCAAGAATGCGCACAGTTACACGCAATTTGAAAATTTAATTGTTTTACCATAAAAGTTCCAATTCCTCAGTTTCACAGCTTTAAAATCCGCTATACCGTCAAGATAACCTATGAACTTCATTAACACTGATTGCGTTTCTCCAAATTTCTGTTATCTTAATGAATCGGTGAACGCCTATTGCCCGATAGTGAAGGCGTCACAGCTCATTATTTGTTATCAATGTAATGCTTCTGAGGTTTTTGGGTAATTAACCCCCGGTTTCTGAATGAAGATTTTAAGCTTAAGAATGCTCATTCTTTAATTGACTTCTTTCAAGGTTCTGGATCTGGATTGACTTCATACTTAGTCAATTAGAAACAAAAATAGGCTTAAATCATACTTATGTAGATAATGTTAAGTTAATTCAGAATCTGTGGGTTCTTCATTTTGTTACTTTCTTTATGCTGTCACTTGTCGTCATGTAGATAATGATGACAAATTCACTCCTTGGCATCAAAACAAACGGGTTTTAGTAAAAGATAGTTTCGCTGAAGTTCTTTAATTAGTCAATAAAGTCATGGCAGTTCACTTTCTAGTTGTTGGGGACCAAAATTAGCAGGTATTTTCCAAAAAATGCACAAGTAAACTTGATAGGCGCCTGTCTACGAGGAATGACATCCCTGGACCCCGGTATGTCATCGTAACCTCCTGGTTAGTACACACCTAAATATTAAAATAACTAACTATTATAGGCTTTAGAACCTCTAGACTACAGAATTCGTAGGCGTAAATGAACTATTAAGCAAGTTAATTTGGCGATGATACTATGGTGAGTTGCTACTGAGATGGTTTCACAGCTGTCAATATAAGCAGGAAGTCTAGAATCTAGCTACCCTCTTTTATTGAAGGTAATAAAGCTTAAATAATACAATTTCTTACCAGTATTCCCAAGATCAGTGGACTCCGAAGACGGATCGTCACTGTACGCAGCGGATAGCTGGTACAACACCAACACTAAACACACACCGAAATTAACGACCGCCATAGTTACAATTACTAATTATTG